ATTTCCCCCTCCCCCCCTCCCTTCCTTATCCTCCCCTCCCCCACCCCACCCCCGAACTTCCCGGAACAAAATACAGGGTATAACAATTAACAATCATATACTAAGCTAAGATAGCTATCTATGGACTCTTATCCCCCCTTCACACTTTAACTCCCCTTTTACTTAACTAAATATGAATACTCTTAATTTTTCTATTCATTCATAAGCTATTTGATACTTTTTAGTTTGATATTTGTTTTGAATATAATCAATCCATTTTCTCCATTCCAATATATATCTTTCTTGTGAATAGTCTTTCAAATATGCTGAAATTTTTGCCATTTCTGCTAAATTTGCTACTTTTAGTGTCCATTCTTCAATCGTAGGCAAATCTTCCTTCTTCCAATATTGCGCCACCAAAAGTCTAGCTGCAGTTATTAAATTCAAAATCAATTTAGTCTCTATAACCATACAATCTGTAATTCTACCCAGCAAAAACAACTGTGGAGTAAACCTTATCTTCTTTTTAAGAATATTTTGGATAATCCACCATATTTTTATCCAAAATGCTTTAACTTTTTTACAAGTCCACCATATATGATAATAGATGGCATCATCACAATCACATCTCCAACACTTAGATTGCAAATTCGGATACATACAGGCTAGCTTTTTAGGGTCTAAATGCCATCTGTAAAACATTTTATAAAAATTTTCTCTTAAATTTTGCGCTTGCGTAAATTTCACATTTCTAACCCATATTTTTTCCCAAGTTTCCAACATTATTGGTTCCTGAATATTTTGTGCCCATTTTATCATACAATCCTTAACTAATTCCATTTCTGAATCTATTTCTATCAATATATTATATAATCTTTTTATATGCATTTGGCTTTGATCTCTAATTTGTTTTACCAAATTTTCCTCGTCCCACATGATACCGATTCTCTGATCTTCTTTCCATCTAGCTTGCAGCTGTCCATACTGAAACCAAGTTTGAATTATCCTTTCTTCTTTTAATGTATTTAAGGACTTTAACTGCAATATACCCCCTTCCATTTTAAGAAGCTCTTTATAGGTAATCCACCTCTTGCTTTTGTTCTACACTTATATTCTCTATCGCATGTCTGGGTATTGCCCATATAGGTATCTTATAATTTAACTTATATTATTCTCCGGTAACATTGTACTGTTAACTAGGGCATACAAAATCTTTGCTAGACCAATTCTTAAATACAGCTGGTCTGTCTGGAATCTGCACTGTATATCGGACATTGATACAATTGAGTGAGTCCAGAGGTATTTCACGAGAAGAGTCCTCCACTCCTCTGCTCACAACAGAATACCTTATGCCACTGGACTTGAAATTTTGGTCTTAGAACTTCGCCATCTATGGTCCGACCTAAGCGTTTGTCATAAAATTACCTGCTACAACGTCCTACCTGTCAATGACTACTTCAGCTTCAACCGCAACAATACACAAGCACACAATAAGTAGAAACTTAAGATAAACTGCTCCAAACTCAATTGTAGAAAATAGGACTTAAGTAAGAGAGTGGTCAATGCCTGGAATACACTGCCTGACTCTGTGGTTTCTTCCCCAAACCTCCAAAACTTTAACCTTAGACTGTCTAGTGTTGACCTCACCCCATTCCTAAGAGGTCTCTAAGGGGCGTGCATAAGTGCACCAGCGTGCCTACCATCTAATGTCCCCTTTTATTCATATCCATTTCATGTATTCATAATTATGTTTATACTTATATCTGTTATCTAATACATGCTTGACAAAATAAATAAATAAAAATAAAATCTGTTCAGCAGGATCTTTTAGTGTTAGTATTAAAAGTTTGGGCAGGCCATCCGCAGGTTCCCCCAGAAGCCCCAGGTGCGATGCATCTGGTCCTGGGAATCTAAGCTCATTGCCACGTAAAGAGAGAATCTTTCCATCTGAACAATAAAGCCTTTTGGTTGGAGAAGAGGGACGCAATTCCTGCAGGAGAAGCAACGCCTCCTGAGTCCCAGTCCCTGGAGGGTTGGGGGATCATAACTAACACCTTAAGTGTGATGATGATGATGACTCACTGCCCTTAGCAGGTACAGCGCCAGTTCTGAAAATAGCCGAGGCCTCCAGACTGTGCGTTGCTTGTGCAATCCCCGGTCAGCATTCACAGGAAGACAAAGCCCTCTTCCCGTTTCTTAGAAAGCTGAAAAAGGGAAGAGGGGGAAAAACACACATTGTCCCATTGTTAATTTTTCTTTTTATTCCACTTATATGGCTGCCTGTCTTGAACGAGTGACTCTGGTGGCTAACAGCAGTTTTAAAAGAGAATTTAAAATTCAATAAAAAGGAATTACATTCTTTAAAGAAGAATTAAAAGCCCCCCAAAAATATAAAATAGAGAAAATCAGCAGGGGAGATGATGATTCTCTCTCTCTCTCTCTCTCTCTCTCTCTCTCTCTGTGTGTGTGTGTGTGTGTGTGTGTGTTTGTATTCACACACACACATATACACACACAGAGAGAGGGAGAGATGAAGATAGAGGTAGAGTGAGAGCGAGAGATAAGATAAGATAGAGATGGATGGATGGCTAGATAGATAGAGATAGAGGTAGAGGTAGATAGGTATAGATAGATAGATCGATATAGATACACAGATGATACTCCAACCACCTAGAGTTACAATACAGATATTTAACCAAGACTAATTTACAGGCTGCAGCACAGCCATTCTGACCCACAAGCCTGGAGCCTAAACTTCTCAGCCGCCAGGACGGAGGAGGGCAATTCAATCTCAGTGTCCCTTAGACAGCAAGATGGGCAGCCTATAAATTTGATAAATTAAAAAAAGTCTGGGGGGGGCTGATGTTCTGTAGGACAGGTGCGGTTGGTGGTGCTCCTTAATGCAGGACAGGTCTCACCTGATGGGACAGGTAGACATGATTGAGGAAAACCTGATCCTGTAAATCTCCTGGCCCCATGGCACGGAGAGCTTGAGAGGCCACCACCAGCACCGTGGACTGAACCTGGAAGTTAACAAATAATTCTCACATTCCAGCCATCAACTCCTAGCAACCACCCAAGATACATGTTCCCCAAGGCAACCAACCACCTCTTAGCCTGATATTTCGGGTCTTCCCGTGGTTCCCCCAGAGCCCCAGGGACGGAGGCCCTCTCTCTTTCTGCTGGGGGTCCCTGTAGTCGGGAGTCAGCCCTGGGTTGCTGCCAGTTAAAATGAAAGTCGAACGTTGGCTGGCCTCCATCTTTTCTTCCAAAAACCCCCCAAAAATGAGAAGCTGGTTGAATGTAGAGGAAAGAAAGGCTTGACACGAATGGAATAACAGAAGAGTTGGAAGGGACCTTAGAGGTCATCTAGACCAACCAACCCCCCCAAAGCAGGAGACCCTCCACCATTTCTGACAGATGGCTGTCCAGTCTCTTCTTGAAAGCTTCCAGGGATGAAGCTCCCACAACTTCCGAAGGCAACTTCTGTTCCATGGGTTGATTGTTCTCACTGTCAGAAAATTCCTCCTCATTTCTAGGTTGAATCTCTCCTTGGTCAGTTTCCATCCATTAGTCCTTCTCCGACCTTCAGGTGCTTTGGAGAAGAGGTGGACCCCCTTCCTCCTCTCTGTGGCAGCCCCTCAAGTATTGGAACTCTGCTCTCCTGTCTGCCCTGGTCCTTCCCTTCTAGACTAGCCATGCCGAGGTCCTGCAACCGTTCATCCTTTGTCTCCAGTCCCCTCAGCATCCGAAGCGCCTCCTTCTGCAAGCGGGCGCCCGGCAGGGATCGGCCAGCGCCGCCTTCGCAGGGCGCTCCGTCGGTCGGCTGGAGCGGGAGTCCGGAGTCCGGCGGGGAGAAACGGGCGAGGGGCCGGCGGTCTACGGGGGCCAGGCCATCCCGCTGCCCCCGACCGCCCCCCTTAGCCTCCCCGGGGCTGCCCAGACCCCCTCGAGTGCCCCCCAGCTCTGCCCCCCGTGCATCTGCCCCCACCCCCTGTTCCCCCAGGCCGGGAGGGCTCTAGGGCAGCCGGCTTGCGGGGTGGGCGGGGCAGCTGCTGGGGAAGGGGCTCCGGTCTTTCCGGGGGCAGCAGCTCTCCCCGCCATGCCAAGGGCCGTGGAGCAGAGCCAAGATCCCTCCGGAGAAAGGGGGCCACGGGGAGATCCAACTCGGCCGGTTTCCCGGCCCCGCCGAAACGAAGCGAGCGGCGGAGGAAGGCGAAGGGGGGGGGAGAGAGAAGTCTTGCCCCCCCCCAAGGGCGCCGCTTGTGTGGTGGGGGCAAGTGGTCGCTCTTCTTGGCCACTTCAGCACCCTGGACTTCAACGTCCCGAATTCCCCAGGAAGCCACTTCTGAAAGGCTGCATTTGCCGGTTCTCCCCCTGGACCTGGAGCGCCCCCAACCCAATCCCGCCTCCTGGGTTTCAGGGCTCTGAATCCGCTGAAGAGACCCTAAAGCCCAGCTCGATATCCTGAAGGGTACTGGGGGGGGATGGAGATATTGCCCACCCCTGCTTTGCTCTTACAAGCCCCCCTTTAAATGGGGAGACGGGAACTCTGGAGGGGAGGGGTCTCCGACCAAGGAGAAAGCCCAGTTGTTCATCCCCCCCATCTGTCCACCGCCCCCCGACCGCCCCCGCCCCCCGTGTAATCGTGTGACCTCCGGGGTCCCCTTTGGAAAGAGACCCCGGAGAGCAGCGGAAGGGAAAGGAAGCCCACGCAACGGAGGGGTGAGAGGGGAGCCCTGGGCCCCTGTTTCTCCACCTGGGAAACTGGAAGAAGGTTGGACTTCAACTCCCAGAAGTCTGTGCTGGCTGTGGAATTCTGGGAGTTGAAGTCCACCCTTCTCAAGTCGAGGAGGAAAACGAAGTTCTTGGCAGCTTCTCTCTCTCTCTCTCTCTCTCTCTCTCTCTCTCTCTCTCTCTCTCTCTCTCACACACACACACACACACACACCACACACACACACACACCCGTTAGCCTAATTCCGCTGGGTGATAATAAACAGAAGGCACTCTGCACATGCTTCAGGTTACAGCACTCCCTTTAATAATGTTTTTTTTTTCTCCTTTGATTATGGGCGTCTGCCAAGAGGAGGGGTTGTCTTGCTCTCCCCTCGCACGGAAAACGTTTAGTGTGGGCTGAGGTCACGGATGCGATCCTGGACCCATTGCTCTGAGGGATCGGCGCACATCTTTACATCTTTTTTTGTCACGAACCTGCAAAGGAGAAATGTTTGTTTTTAATCAAGACTATGGTTTAGCACTGGCTGGGGAATTCTGGGAGTTGAAGTCCCCCCCTCTTAAAACGCCCAAAGTTGAGACACACCGATTTAGCCTTGGGTGAGAAAGAAGTTCAGAAATTCTGAATCTCTTGCAAAATTGAACCACGTTTCCTGGGAAACTTACACGACGGCAGCCTTGCTGCATCTCCCGCTGGTGTAGTAGAAAGATTTCAAGAGTTTCAGTGGGATGGGGCGTCTCACGAAGTCAAAGCAGCAGGAGTTGGGCCCCGGATCCACTGGGGAAGGAAAGAGAGAAGAGAATGGAGACGTTCTCCAGCCACCCAGGAGTGGGCAGGAAACTCTCTGCCTTCAGATTAGCAGCTCAAGAGCAACCAAAATGGTTAAGAGGCTGCAGGCTAAAGCATACAAAGAACGTTTGCAGGGATTGGCTTTGTCTAGTTTAACGAAAGGAAGGATTGGGGGGGGGACATGCAGCCTCCCAGTATTTGAGGGGCTGCCACAAGGAAGAGGGAACAATCAAGCGGTGGGACTGCTTGCCACCAGAAGCTGTGAATGCTCCCACGCTGCAGGTTTTCAAGAAGAGATTGGACAGCCACTTGTCAGGAATGGTATCCAGGTCTCCTGCTTAGACGTGGGGTTGGACTAGAAGACCTCTGAGGTCCCTATGATTATATTCTTTAAGTGATAGAAAAAACGTGTGCTTGTGTGTAGATCCATCTCTGGACGACCCTCCCAGCAGGAGACCTTCCCCACCACAAGCAAGGATGCTGCTCAGCTCAGACCCTTCTGCAAAGCTGGCCTTGCATTCTCGGGGTCCCCAGCTGTGCCCCATTACAAGCCCTGCCATGGGGGACCCTGCCTTCAACCCCACCTGCCGTAGGAGCAGCAGCCCCCCTGTCTCCCCCGTCTCCTCCTGTCTCAACCCTGGTCTGGCCCAGCAACATGGCAGAAGGGCAGGAGGCACCCCAGAGCTCTCCCCAGAGGAAGAGGCTGGGCTAGGAGCACCCAGGGTCAGGAGGCAGAGTTGGGGTGATTTTCGGATGCTGGAAAGGAGGGAGACTTACCATTCTGGTCTCTGGGGGGTGGGTTCGGGGGCTGCACCTGAAAGAGAGAGGCGGAGGGGGGGCCTTGTAACTCCTTCAGCTCCCCCCCCTTGCCCCCACGGCTGAGAGCGGAGCCACTGGTGCCAGGGGAAAGCCCTTCAGGGGCCCCGGGGGCTCTGGGGGTCAAGAGAGGGTGGGCCGGGGGGGGCCCCACGGAATGAAGGACTCACTGGGACCCTCGACAGCCAGGGCGACGGAGACCACCAGGAACAGAAAGGTGAAGAGGCTCTTCATCTTCAAAGAGGGCAGGAAGAGCAGCTCCGGTCTGATCTCTGTGGCATCAGCACTGGGCACCCAGAGGCCTCTTTATAGAAACCGGCAGCTGCAGCCACGGGAAACACGTGGGGGGCTCCACCAGCAGGGTGTGGCCACGAAGGCTGTGTTGCCAGGGAGACGCCCAGATGCATCTCTCCCTCCCTCCCCCCATCCCTTTATCCATCCATCCATCTATCCCTCCATCCCTCTATTCCTCCATCCCTCTATCCATCCCTCCCTCCATTCCTCCCTCCATCCATCCCTTCCTCCCTCCATCCATCCCTCCCTCCCTCCCTCCATCCATCCATCCATCCATCCATCCACCGACCTCAGAGACGGTGTTTGCAATGTTCTGAAGAAGAATCCGTTCTAGTGGGAATCCATTTCCTGCACACCTTCATTTCTGAATATAAGCCAAGGCTCCAACGTTTTCTGCAAGAGCCACAAAGATGATGAGGGGACTGGAGGCTAAAACATACAATGAACGGTTGCAGGAACTGGGCATGGCTAGTCTGATGAAAAGAAGGACCAGGGGCTGCCACAAAGAAGAGGGAGTCAACTCATTCTCCAAAGCACCTGAGGGTAGAACAAGAAGCAATGGGTGGAAAGTAATCAAGGAGAGAAACAACCTGGAACTCAGGAGAAATTTCCTGACAGGGAGGACAATTAACCAGTGGAACAGACGTTGCCTCCAGAAGTGGTTGGTTGCTCCAACATTGAAGGATATCAATAAGAGATTGGACAACCATTTGTCTGAAATGGAATACGGTTTGCTGCCTGAGCAGAGGGTTGGACTAGAAGACCTCCAAGGTCCCTTCCCTCTGTTATTCTGTTATCACAACAGATAAGCCAACTCAACAGAAACCCCAAGGGCTTTCTAAAAAGAACAACAGAATAGAATAACAGACCTTGAAGATCTAGTCCAACCCTCTGCTTAGGCAGGAAACTCTACACCACTTCAGACAAACGGTTATCCAATCTCTTCTTGAAAACGTCCAGTGTTGGAGCATTTATAACTTCTGGAGGCAAACTGTTCCACTGGTAAAATTGTTCTGACGGGGCAGGAAATTTCTCCTTAGTTCCAGGTTGCTTCTCTCCTTGATTAGTTTCCACCCATTGTTCCTTGTCCTGCCCTCAGGTGCTTTGGGAAATAACTTGATCCCCTCTTCTCTGACAAGTGGCAGCCCAGCCTCTTCTTGAAAGCTTCCAGGGATGAAGCTCCCACAACTTCTGAAGGCAGCTTCTGTTCCATCGGTTGATTGTTCTCACTGTCAGAAAATTCCTCCTTATTTCTAGGTTGAATCTCTCTCTTTCATCAGTTCCTATCCATAATTCCTTGCCTTGCCTTTGGGTGTCTTGGAAAATAGATTGACCCCCTTCTCTTTGTGGCAGCCCTCAAATACTGGAAGACTGCTATCATGTCCCCCAGTCCTTCTATTCATCAGATGTTGCAGTAGATCCACCAAAAGTGAAGTGACTGAGTTCCAGGAGTGATTGGGATGAAGAGATGGAGGAAATGGGTGCAGAGGACATGATGGTCGTGTCAGAAAAGTCAAGATGGCAGCCAGAATATAGATGAAAGGTGCTTTGATGGCCTGGATCTGGTTGCCATTTTGATCTTTTGGCCCTCCTCCTTGTAGACACCACTGGAAATGTCCAGTTGGAATAGAAAACACTCTAGAACAGTGGACTTCAACTCCCGGAAGGCACCAGGCAGCATGTTGGACAGCTTGGGGTGAGATACCACCAACATGCGGATGATATCCAGGTTTTATCTCCACTGCAGACGGCTTGAGTGGCATCAGGCTGTGGAGGCCTGGATGGGGTGCAGCCCCTTCAGCTTAACCAAGCAAGACAGAATAGAATAGCACAGTTGGACGGGACCTTGTAGGTCATCAAGTCCAACCTCCTGCCCAAGCAGGAGACCCTACACCGTTTCTGACCAATGGCAGCCCAGTCTCTTCTTGAAAGCCTCCAGGGATGAAGCTCCCACAACTTCTGCAGGCAACTTCTATTCCATCAGTTGATTGCTCTCACTGTCAGGAAATTCCTCCTTATTTCCAGGTTGAATCTCTCCTTGGTCAGTTTCCATCCATTATTCCTTGCCTGGCTTTCGGGTACCTTGGAAAATAGCTTGACCCCCTTCCTCCTCTCTGTGGCAGCCCCTCAAATATTGGAAGATGCTATCCTGTCTCCCCTGGTCCTTCTCTTCACTAGACTAGCCAGGCCCAGTTCCTGCAACCGTCCTTTATATGTTTTAGCCTCCGGTCCCCTCATCATCCTGGTTGCTCTTCTCTGCACTCTTTCCAGAGTCCCCACATCTTTTTTATAGTGTGGTGATCAAAACTGGATGCAGGACTCTAGGTGTGGCCTTACTAAGGCTTTATGGAGCGGTATTAGTACCTCCCTTAATCTTGATTGTATCCCTCTGTTAATGCAGTTTAGGATCGTGTTGGCTTTTCTGGCTGCTGCTGCACACGGCTGGCTCCTATTTAGCTGGTTGTCCACCAAGACTCCCAGATCCCCCTCACAGTCACTGCTCTTAAGCCCGGTTTCCCCCAGTTTATATCTGTGCTTTTGGTTTTGGGCTGAACTGATGTAGGGACTGAAATTCCTCCAATTTCTTTGCCGCTCCCTTTCCGAGGATGACAGGGCTGGAGAAGAACCGAGGCTCTTGGGGCTTTTCCACCAGGACCTGCCGAGACCAGGACAGCCACCTTCTCTTTGGGGTCCTTTGCTTCCCGTCTCAAAGGAGGGAAGGATCAAAGGCTGAAACACATGAGGAACGGCTGCAGGATTTGGGTCTGGCCAGTCCAAAAGAAAGAAGAATCAAGGGGAGAGGTGATAGTAGCATTCCAGTGTTGGAGGGGCTGCCAGAAAGAAGAGGGGGGTCAACCGATTTCCCAACGAAGGCGAGACAAGAAACAATGGTTGGAAACTAATCAAGGAGAGAAGCCCCCTCCTGACAGGGAGCACAATTCACCAGTGGAGGAGAAGTTGCCTCCAGGAGTTTTGGGTGCTCCAACACCGGAGGCTTTTCAAAAGAGATTCGGCAGCCATTTCTCTGGAATGGGAGAGAGTTTCCTGCCTGAGCAGGGGGTTGGACTAGAAGACCTCCAAAGGCCCTTCCAGCTCTTTTCTGATTCTAAAGAAAATTGTCAGGTTTTATTCCACTGCTTTCAGCCCAGATCTGCAGCTTATTGAGATGGTTTAACCCCAAAACCCCAAATCCTCTCTGTCTTCTAGAATATTAACAGTCTCACGCAATTCTGCCTGATCTGCTCAAGCGGACACCTCTCCTCCACCTTCTCACCATTCGTGGAAAGGTGGGAGTGCGGAGGAGCCGAGGGGAACGCCTGGCACCTGCCCCCTCCCTCCCCTCCCCTCTCCGTGGAGGGGTGCCCGTGGAGGGCCTGTTGGGAGCCAGCCAGCCAGCCAGAGGGCTCCTCCTTAGTCCTCGTGCCCTGCAGCCCACAAAAACCGAGCCTGCAAAAAAGGATGCTGCGAGATACTTTATCGAGGCCTTGCTCAAACCAAGATATCTTTTATTTACAACCATTTCTCAATCTTTTCAGGAAGCAGTTTGATCCAAACGGGAGATATGATAAGGCAGCAAGATCAGTTCCTGGCAACCCCACCGACACCCCCCCCCCATGACTTCTGCTAATTGTGGTGCTATTTTCAAAGTTCCTTTCTGCATGAGCAGCTCCAGAACTTTCCACGAAGTCAACATTTTGCTGAAGCCATTTGTAAAACGCCGAGATCTGCATTCCTTGTAAAAGAAGGAATCTGCCTTGCCAACTAAAGGACGACATCCGGGAAGAGAACAAAGGATTCTAGAAGTGAATCTAGCAGCTCAAGGGTTGGGGGTCGCCAAAACAACTTTGGATCCCTGGACCGTGGTCTCCACGGCCTCCATGATGGGCTGCTGGCAAGGGATGGGCTGCACCTCACAAAGACCGGGAAGAAGGTTTTCTCGACTTATCAAGGGCTCTTGGAACTCAGATTGAGGGGGGAGGGTGACCAATCTGTAGGATCTCCAGGACCTAATTTCAAGCAAAAACCCCTAGAAATCAAGTCAAATAATGGAGGGATGGGAAGGAAGACAAACTCAAACATCAAGTAGGAGACCTACCCAGAGTCAGACATAAAGATCTCAAGTGCACAAAGTCTGGGGAACAAACAGGGTGAACATGAACTATTAGAGAGCATTTCACCAAGGCAACCTTCAGCGGCACCATCTTGGAAGTTGCTACCAACCTGCCTTCCATGGAGGACCTGCATCCTGCACAAGTCAAAAAGAGGGCTGGGAAAATATCTACAGACCCCTCACATCCTGGACATCAACTGTTTCAACTCCTGCCCTCAAAACGACGCTATGGAGCCCTGCACACCAGAACAACTAGACACAAGGACAGTTTTTTTCCCCAACGCCATCACTCTGCTGAACAAATAATTCCCTCAACACTGTCAAACTATTCACTAAGTCTGCACTATTAATTTTCTCATCATTCCCATCACCCATCTCCTCCCACTTATGACTGTATGACTGTAACCTTGTTGCTGGTATCCTTAAGATTTTTATTGATATTGTTTCCTGATTGCTTATTTGTACCCTATGACTATCATTAAGTGTTGTACCTTATGATTCTTGACGAACGTATCTTTTCTTTTATGTACACTGAGAGCATATGCACCAAAGACGAATTCCTTGTGTGTCCAATCACACTTGGCCAATAAAAAATTCTATTCTATTCTATTCTATTCTATTCTATTCTATTCTATTCTATTCTATTCTATTCTATTCTATTCTATTCTTTCTATTAATACATGAATGTAGATATGATATAGTTGGAATAACAGAAACTTTGTGGGTTGAAACCCACGACTGGAACATACTGATAGAAACATACAAACTGTTCAAAAATACCAGACCACATAAAAGAGGAGGTGGAGTTGCACTGTACGTAAAGGACAAC